AGCTCGCCATAGACAAAACGCAGGCAATTCAAAGCCAAACAAAACCTCTCCGTCGTGTGTTTTTTTGCGTTGTAGCGCGTGTTATTGCACGCACCGTCTGAATCTTCGCTTCGCACGTGCCGGGAGGCCCTTCAGCGAGCGGTCGACGGCACGACCCCAAAAACGCGTCGGGGAACAGCCAACGCGGCACGTCCGCGAACACCTACGCAGCAAGCACAACACATCCTCGTGGTAGCTTCATCATCATTATTATTCCCCCCCCCCCCCAAAAGCCCCTACCGTGGCTGTGGGAGACAGAGAGAGAGCGAGTGGGCTCCGGGATCTGCACCGTAATTAAACCCGCTCCCCCCCCGGTGCCATGGGGCGGCGGTGGCGACACCACGGCTCTCCGCCGCGATGCCGGGAGACGCGGAGACGCGGCAGCCTCCTCCTGAGACGGAGGAGCCGGCGGCCCACCGGAGCGTTCGCGCGGAAAACGCCGCGCTCGCTCGCACGCACGCCAAGCGCAAAGACCCACCCCACCCACCCCATGTCACCTTTTACACACTGCTGGGGCAAGTGCTGTAGGCGAGCACCTATTCAGGCCGGCCACGGCGCACGAGGGTGTGGTGTGGCCAGAAACCGTGCCTCGGACACCTTTGTCTACCCGTTGCTGACGTTCATACATCTGTGTACACGAAGTGGCTTAGCAAATGTCGCGGTTATAATTCTCGAACATCTCTTATAAAAAGAGGGGCGACGCGGGTCAAAATAGGGGGGGCCCAGAACCGGTTTGTTTGTTTGCCACCAATATGAACCGTGGCCCCAGGGTTCATAGAGCGGTGTGCTAATCACTGCACCACTGCTCGAAAGACAAATATTCCCTGTATAGCTCTAACAGACTGTTGGGGCAAGTGCTGTTAGCGAGCACCTATGAAGACCGGTACGGCACACGAGGGGGTGGGTGGTCAGCACCACGCCCGGCCGCCTTTGTCTCCCTAGTGGCGGTGTTTTTACACATCGCACCAGGATTCTCATTTGAGGCTGAGTCGACCTAGGGGAGGCCCATGACCAGTTTATATAATCGTCACTCGTGTTGGCCGTAGCGCAGCGCGCTAACCACTTTGCCACTGCTCCACGCATGCACACTCCGACACACATGACAAAGACACACACACACTTCGACACACAAACACTCAGACAACAACAACAACAACCGCCATTCGCCACTAAGTGGCGGTGACGTCACCACGACGCTTGTGCCAGGCCATGTGCACCTTGAGGCCAGGTGAAGTGTCGAACGCCCGCTGGCAGGAGGTCACGGGGCAGACCCAGGTGCCCATGGGTCGACTGGCTGAGATGACCGAGATGACTGGCTGATGCACCACACACTCGGACACGTGCACACGAGGCAGCTGTCGCTGTCCTCCAATAGCTGTGCACGTGCAGAAACACGCTCTGCATAATGTACGAACGTAACGAGTATTAGGCGTGTAAAGATTCACGTGATCCTCCAGCGATTTGTTGAAATGTCACGATTGAAGATTTTAGAATATTTTTTTTTTATCATTTGTACCGTTTCTGTGTCATTGACATCGTTTTGTTCGTAATGTTTGTTCCGTATCGTGTCCTGTCTCCTTCAATCCGTCCCTTTTACTTGATCATATTTATTGCTTCATTTCTTTCTCTCTGTGATATTTGCCCTCTAATTTTTGCATCAGTTGGCTTTAATGTACATTGGCAGACCATTTGCACGTCGTTTTTAATAAATCATGAATAATTCATTCTAAAACCTGCGCAGGGTGATTCACGTATCGCAATCGAGAGAATCGATCTCAAAAAAGATGAATCGACGCATCGGCACGTGCCTAATAAAGCAGCGGCGGGAGCAGCAGCGTATCGCCCTGTTCGCTTCGTGCGCGTTTCTTCCGTTGCGTTGTTTGTAACCGGTCGCGTGCGTGCCTGCACGTGACCTGGCGGCCCTTAATGTTGACCTCTGCACGCTGTTTGCAAGTGATAGCATTTGGACGCCCGGGCACACATTTTGATGTTTATCAGCACGGACAGCAGTTCCCGTAGCCGGAGGCAGAACCCGGTTTCTTCTTTATGAGACGTAAGACATTTATCTTCCGCTGCAGCGCAGGTAGCCGGCGTCTGTTGAAAAGCATCCACTTTGTGGCAATGCCCCCTCCACCGTAACCCACTTTCAAATAGACCGTTAAAAAATGTATGGATTTGTCGGGAAGGGAGCAGCGTAGTGCATTTTTTTCGCGACGCTGTCCGTTGATTAAGTTGATTTTCCGCAGCAGCACCACGGTGCCGCCGGTCCACTTTGGAATCTAATTTGACCGAATTTCGGCTCCGCCACCGCGGGCCTCGGTTTTTGCCGCTCGTTTCCTCCGACGGAGCAGATGGCGGTGACGGCGGCGGCATTTTTTTTTTTTACCTGGCGCTGAAGGTATTACACGCGGCGCGTCGGAGAGGGAAAAAGTTACCGGGTAAATTTTTTTTTTCCCGTGTTGAAGCAAAATGCAAATTGACTCTAGTGTTTTACCTTCGAGACCCCCGCATCAGAACTGATTTATTTTCTCACTTTGTAGCACGCTGTACTGGAAGGGCTCGTGCCGCGGTGAAGAGCAGGCGAAGCGGAGGGCTCTGCAGTGGATGACTCCGCCTGCTAATTTGGCCGTTGCACCGACACGCAGCGAGTGGGGGGCTCGCTCTTGATTGCCTGCAGCACCCGTCTGCGACAGCGGGGGTGTTGGAGTCGGAAACTCTTGATGTGTGCGAGCTCGCGGACGGCCGCAGCCGCTTCGAAGCAGACACTCCGAGCTTCCTTCCTCCCCAAAGTGTCCCGCAGAGCGAGAGGAGGCCGGGTGGCTGAGGGGGTGATATTCCAGCGCCGTATGGGATCGCAAAACCGCCACTGCTGAGACAGACGGGCTCCAAATTGCGGGTTTTTGCGACCCGACCATAATTAAGACGAGCTTTCTCACGTGCCGCGAGTTGACTGTCTCAGGCCAAGAGGTGGCTGGGTGACTCTGAGATAATTTTGAACCGTGTCAGATTTCTGAGCCACACACCGCTGATATTCATTGGGTTCTACTGGTCCCTAACTGTACAAAAGCACTCGGAATAATGCATTTAGTTTGTCAGTTCAATTAGCTTATTTCAGTCCTAATAATTCAAACATATGAAATATATGTGAGGAATGCTCTTTTTTTTCAGGACGTAAAAAGGGCATTGCCTCATGTGGCCGTGAGGCTTACTAAAGTGATTTCAGAAGTAGTTTGTGCGATGTCATCCTGCGGTAAATTCTTATAACGCTAAATTATGACGTGCTGCTAACCAGGGAGCGTTCTAAATGGCAATGTGTTTTTTGTTGTTGTCTCGTAACGAGACTAGTGTGATGGCACATTTGAAATGTAATTGGCAGAAAGGGTCGGAAAAAAAATCTTACGTCCCACCGTGCCCCTCCGACACACTGTGGCGTTTACTCGCTTCGGCATTCGTGGAATTTAATTTGTCGACGTGAGAGACGGGGGAGGGGGTGGGAGCTTTGGCTTCCTCCTGGGAGTCTGTGTTTGTATGTGGGGCACCGCAATTGTCGTGGGGAGTGGTGGTGGCTGGCCCACTGCTTGTGTGAAACCCACGTTCGATTTCCGATCGCAGCCAACTCCTGTGACTATCATCTGAACGTGTTCCTCGGCCTACCCTCGGTCGACTCAGCCTGTGTACCTGCTGCAGTGTGTATTAAACATTAGCACTTGGGGGAGACAAAGGCAACTGGGCACGATGCTGACCGCAGCACCCCCCTCGTGTACCGTGCCGGCCTTCATAGGTGCTCGCTCACTAACAACGCTTGCCCCCTTACAGGTTACGGGTGGGTGGGGGGGGGTCTTTGTCTTCATGGCATCGCAAAGAGGGCCCGTTCGCAATCGACAATGCTTGTGATGTGCAGTGCGCTCGGGCACAGAAAGCGCACGACGCAAACACAAGCTGCCTTCGCATGGCACCAACACAGAAGAATCCGCGGGTTCTGCTCTTAATGCCCCCGTCGACAGCCAGTGCAGTTCTGGGCAAATGTAATGGGGGAAGCCTTCGGGGACTCGTAAATCCATACTGTCAAGGGGGGGGGGGGGGGGGGGACAGGCCCACTGAGCTGCATTGTCGGGCTTTTGTCCCTGCCGACTTAGCTCGGTTGTAAACTGAATAATGCAATTTCACGGCCAAAGTGGGCAAATGCGCCTCGGTTTTAAACAGAGGAGCGGGGATTTGGCCGAGTTCCACCGACCAGTCGGGCGATTGTCGCCGTCTGGGGTTTCGTGGGGAGGGCCTCGTCAGGTGTTTTGCATTCCCCTCGCCGGCACGGCGAGCGGTTTCCTGTGAAAGTTTTAGGGGGAAATGTCTGGCTGACCTTATGTCTGTATGGGTGTCTGGTTGGCTGTCCATCCATCTGGTTGTCTGTCTTTCTTGTCATGTTGTCTTGTCTGTCTGGTTGGTGTTTTTGTTTGTCAGGCAGTCTGTCTTTCTGTCTCGTCTTTCTGTCTGGTTGTTTGTCCGTCTGGTTGTAAATGGCAGCGTAAATGGGTTCACCGCAGCGAGTCGATGGGCAGGTCACGTGCGGTAGAGGAAAGTGTTTGGGTATGGCCATCTCTTCCGAGACGTCACGTCAGCATGGAAGAGTAGACCAAATACCCTCTCGAGTGCTCCCTCCGGCGTGACGAAGCATGGGAGCAAAATCGCAGGGCTGCACCTTTACCTTTTTCACCGGGAAATAATGCCAAAGGTGCCGCGCAACGAGTTGGGCCGCTGTGCCGTTCAATACGTTCGTTTGTGCCAACCGGCTCACCGGTCGCTACATTCGTCCTGAACTTTCGCAAACCGGTAATCGTCCACGGAAGCGGTCACGTGTTTGCCCGGAGTGTCGTTCAACAACCCCGATGCGAACTCCCCGTCCCCCGATGCCCGTCCGTGTGTCCGTCTGAACCCGTCTTCGTGTGGCCCGTCCCTCCCGGCAGGCGTTTGGGCAGGCGTACTCGAACCACAAGCGCGCGGCGGAGGATGGGGAGACGCGCGAGGAGACGCTGCTGGAGGAGTCGGCGTCGCGCGAGGCGCTGCACCTGGCACGGGTTCTGCGCCTCGAGGGCGAGCTCAAGGCGGCGCGCACGGCGCTCAGCAACGCCCTCGCCGACGTCGATCGACTCACCGTGCTCGCCACTCAGCTCAAGGAGGTGCGTGCATGCGTGTGCGTGCGTGCGTGCGTCGGGAGCGGCCAGCACCACGGCGGGCGGGCGTGATGCTGGCCACCCACACCCCACCTCGTGTGCCGTGCCAGCCTTCGTAGGTGCTGCTCGCAAACAGCACTTGCCCCAACAGTCTGTTAAGGCTGTAGGCGGGATCTTTGTCTTGTTGCGTGTGCGTGTGCGCGACGCCGCGAACGAGCGGAGCGATTGGTTGACACGGGGTTCGAAGGTCGTTTCCCCCCTACGACGGTGGCCGTCTGTCAATGAGTGATTCGAGCGGAAACAGAAGTGGCCGCTGGAGATCCTATATTTCTGGGAGGCTCAACCGGGACACGTGGTGAGCTCGCAGCCCTGCCCTCCGTCAGCACCACCCATTTTTAAATGGCCACTCCAACTCAATCGCTAACCGCTGGCCAAAGAAGGAATGTTCTCTCCTCCATGCCGACGTGAGGCCCACCTTCTCTGCCCATAGGGCCCATCGGAATGCCCATCAAGGCTGGTCGTGTGCCAAGTAGATTGGTCATGTGGTGTAAGAATTGGTTTTACCCTTTCTGACAATAAAACAGGTGCTAAGATGTTAAAACAGTTTAACACGTAGGCTTTCGCGACCAATATCATCCATAATACAGGTTATTTTGTTAGATGTCGTTAAACCCGCCACCACCTGACACAGCCAACTAGTAAGGGTGGTCACGTAAACAGAACGTTGCCAATCCGTCACTAGTACAGCACACCGGTGTGTTGGAGAGCCAAGCCACAACATTTACAATCTGAGTCCGACGTTTTGCCAGTAATTTCAACTCGCTTCATCAGGTGACAGCCATATCAGATGTTAAAACACCAAACAGAAACCCTTTGCAAGGAATCATACCTGCATTAACCACACATACTTGGTTAACATGCAAACATGCATGATGTAGATGCTCACCCCGAGCTATAAATGCCCTGGTAGTGGCGTTGTCTCTGTGCTGTTCGCCTTTTGGTGTCCTCTGATCTAACACCGTTTGAGACTAGGCCCTAAAGAAAGCTGTCTCTGGTGTGGACCAATCAGCTTCAAAGACAATGCATATATTACCAGAGCATGTTTTTGTTTGCAAGTTCACCACATGTGTGTGTGTGTGTGGTTAATGCAGATTTTATTCCTTGCATAGGGTTCCTGTTTTGTGATTTAGCAGCTTAGCACCTGCTTTATTGCCAGAAAGGGTAAAACCGATTCTTACATTTTGATACTGGCAAAAAAGGTCCCATGATGATCACGTGGTGTAAACCACGGCGTATCCACCAATTGTTTGCAGCCATTAAAGACCCCCCCCCCAACCATGTGGTAGGGGATGGTGAAGATTATGGTGACTGGAAATGCCAAAAACTGCACCCAAAATGAGCCATTCTGAGTCACCGCAAGGTGCGTAGGCCGTGCACAGTGGGCGTGGTGGGAGGGCTTCACGGGACGGCGATTACGAGTGCCGTGTGGTAGAATTTACCTGAGCCACACCTGATGATGATGTGGGCAGATGGCAACGAACGCCCGAATTCGCCGACTCACTTTCGCGGGGCAGGGTCAACGCGGATTTCACAACGGAGTGCCTTTCGTGCCAGAAGCAAACGCCCATTATTCTTTTTTGTAATGTGTGCGCAAAATAATAATGAGTGGAGAAATGTGCAGATTGATGCAACCAATATATTACAAAATTACAAGTGTGAATGGGGTTTCAAAGTATAAACGGAGTGTGCTTTTGCCAATAACATCTGATAATTCGGCAGCATTTGTTTAACAATGCTTAACCGCTGACGAGACCCAAAAAGTGGAAACCTGGTCCAGAATTTGCTTGCTTAAATGCCGCTCGATAATGTCGGTGTGGAAAGCCCAATAGGCTGGTAAAGTAAAACAATTCCATTCATATGTGGAGACACAACTGAATTTTGTATACATACGTATACATTTTTCAGAAGTGATGAAATACACAGTAATCACTAGGGGTGTAACAATGCACGGATTAATCAATATGGATTCCTAAGGATCAAGGTATATGTTTTAAATCACAGTGGTAAAAGCAATGTTTTAATATGACATTTTCAATACGTTGTACGTTATGGGTTCGTGTGAACTCTGAAGCCACTAGTGGCCGCTCCATTGATTGCAATGGGAAAAAAAAGACTTGTTGATTGCATTATTAACCTGAATGGCAACAATTTATAAGTACATAACTGTGGAAGGTTATGGGGAGTCATGAGAGTTATCGTAAAAATGCCACCAAACGCTCAAACCGGTCAAAAGCTGCTTTAAATTTACAATAAAATCCATGAAACATTTGGATTCATGTCGTGTGTAAAATGTGACCGAATCTCAATAAGCATTATTCCGCCGGCAGGGAGAGAGAGAAATCGAGTGAACAAACACGAGCTGTGTCACGTACGATAACCCCTGGATGGGGAAAAATTCATTTCACGTAATTATCCCACGGGAACACAAATCTCGCGTCAACCCCATCGGCCGGCATAGCCAACTTGTTTAGACAGTAAATTCCCAGCCTGTCCCCACCGCTCAACGCGCCGGTCCCTCGTGACGGCACTGGGCCTTCGTGACGACACCGGTCCCTTGTGATGGCACCGGTCCCTTGTGATGGCACCGGGCCTTCGTGACGACACCGGTCCCTTGTGATGGCACCGGTCCCTTGTGATGGCACCGGTCCCTTGTGATGGCACCGGGCCTTCGTGACGGCACCGGTCCCTTGTGATGGCACCGGGCCTTCGTGACGGCACCGAGCTAAAAACCGCTGCGAGTGTTGACTGGAGCTCGCGTGATGGATCATGCTCCTTGACTAGAACAGCAAGGTATTGTGTTTCATGCGGCAAGCACTTTGTGTGTGGTTCAGGTTTTGCTCACCACTCATGTTAGCTTGTGGCTGGGGATGGAACGCAGATCGCCACATTCACAGCACGGTGAGCTCAACACTCTCCCGACTGCTCTTCATGCAAAGCTCGCCCATATAGCCGTGTTTGTTATGCTGATGGTTGCAGGTGCTGTTAGTGAGCACTTATTAGTGAGGCTGGCAATGGCGCATGAGGTGGTGGTGTCAGAACAATGCCCCCAACGACCTTTCTCTCCACAGTGCTGATGTTGATGCACTGCACTAGCTACCTATTTAAGGCTGAGTTGATCTAGTGGATGACCAGAACCTGTTCAGATATCACTCGACGCTGATTGTTAGCCCTGGTCGGGAATCGAACTCTGGAAAATGTGATCGTAGCATGTACACGCACGTGTACAATACATGTACTTAATACTTACATACAATACATGTACTTAATACTCGTGCACGGAGCTGTTAGAAAGGACATTGCGGCAAGGAGGATGACGGTAGAGTGGAAGCATGGCACAGCGTGCTAACCACCGCACCACCACTCCCCATAATCAAAGCCAATGGGCTTTCTTGTTAAATCCTTATTGTATGCTCTTCGAGTGAGCGCATTACGGAGCACCTATTAAGGCTGGGGTGCAGTTGTCAGCACTGTGCTTTGGCCACTTTCATCTCCTCAGTTCCGATGGTTACACGCGCCCCGTACTAGGGCGCTCATTTAAGGGCTCAATCGACCTAGGGGAGGCGCAGGACCGTTTCGGATGTTCCACGACCGAAATTGAACACGGGTCGCCAGGTTTTGTGGCCCGGTGCACTAACCGCTCAACGCTACGCTATTGCTCCCCACTACAAGCCTCGCCCAAAGACAAAGATCTCCCGTATAGCCTTAGACTGTTGGGGCAAGTGCTGTTAGTGAGTAGCACCTCTGGGAGCCGGCATGGCACACTAAGTGGGTGGGTGGCCACCACCACGCTCGGCTGCCTTTGTCTCCCCAGTGACGATGTTTACCAGAGGTTGCAACCGGGTACTCGATACCCGTACCCTACCCGATACCCGGCTACCCGTACCCGGCCGGGTACAGGTATGGGTACCCGTTTGCGACCCTGGTGCGGCCGGGTACGGGTAGGCCGTGAGTCACTGGTGAGTAACCGTTTGTCACTCATTTCGGGTAGGGTACGGGGTAGGGAACGGGTACCCGTACCCGGCCGGGTACGGGTACCCGTTTGCGACCCTGGTGCGGCCGGGTACGGGTACGGGTAAGGAATCAAAACCCGTTTGCGACCTCTGATGTTTACACACCGCACCAGGTACTCATTTGAGGCTCACCCATACACTGTCACACAGACGCACCATGTATGGGGGGGGGGCTGTGATTGTCACGCAAAATTGGACCCCACTTTCCGTTGGAATGAAGGCACACGTGGGAGAACAACCTGGCCACACTGATGGCAGAGCCATTGACACGTAGTGGTTGAGCGTCGCCGGTGTGAAGCCACTTAGCCTGTCTGATTTTAATAGCAAGTTCCACGCAAGCGTACGTCAGCCACGACGCCGTTTCCACCGGTGATGTCTGGGCGAGTGCGCTGTGGGGGGACGGAGGGCACGTGGAATGGGATGCCACGTCTTTATTTCAGGCCTGAGCTGAGTGGCCGCAAGAGACGGTCGACAGTGCCGCATCGTCGGTTGAGGACATCACCTGTCGCGTAGATCACAGCCGCATCTGGATATCGCCCGCGGTCAATGCAAAATGAAACCACGTATCCTGGAATGAATGAAAACATCTGCGCTGATGTGATGGCGATGATGAAAATGCATCGGAGAGCTTTACAGCCCAACGGTGGAAACCTACGTAGTTGCAGTAATGAATGAAAATCTTTGAACATAAACAGGGCATGATTTTACCGAGCGAGCATGTTCTGAACTAACAGGGCCTCGGAGGAATTGAGTGAATACAAATATGTATTCTTGTAAAATAAGGGCAAACGCCAATTTAGATCCGGTCTTTGGTATAGTGTGCCAACATCTCTGTTATTCGTAACGGGGGAAATTGCACAGTTTCGACCATTGCTTCAAGATGTGAATCTGGCCTCAGCATTACATTGTGCTCCTTAACGCTTGCTTGTGAGATGT